AGCAGTCCAATCTTCCGATGCCGACAGAATTTAATATCCCCTTAGCAGGACAAGTCGAAGGCACGGCGATTTCCATGATATTGCTTCCGCACGAGATTATGCACCACCTTTGGAAGACGACGACTGGATGGATTACTTCTGTGTTGCCTGATGCGGAGGCTTTGCCTCGGTTTTGGAGATCGTTCAATGGACACCCTTGCATGGCAAATCATGCGGTAAAATCGCGGGTTAATTGGATGCAAAGGGCTATTCCCCTTTGCATACACGGCGACGAAGTTCCTGTTTTTGGAGTGGGCAAGATATGGGCTCGCAGTGTTTTGGCATTTTCGTGGGTATCGCTGATGGCCACAGCGGCCGGCCGATCTGCTGCCGATTGCAACCTCTATACTTGGGGCGTTTTTGAGAAGTTCATTATTCCGGCTGGCGGCGAGGTGGCTGGGACAATGGAAACTTTTTGGCAAGTGATGTATTGGTCTTTCAACATTATTTACACCGGTAAACGGCCTGCTCGGGATTGGTGTTGTTGTATATGTACACATGTGCCAGAAATCTGGAAACCCTTACATTTTAGGACCCTGTGGGAACCCTATAAGCTGTAAGCCTTTTTGTTTTCCTTGATTTTTTATGATGTGGGTCCTGTTTTAGATATGTGACTATATACATACACACCCTATGTATGAGAGCCCTGTTCTCAAATCCAACCCTAACCCAACAGCTTCCTTGATGGTGATGATGATATATATATATATATATATGTACACAGTATATAATATCGTATAAACATATATAAGACACAAAACCACGGACCAGTGGAATCCCAAAGCAGCACGAACCGGATGTGACAAACATCACCACACCACACAGTATACGTAAAAACCCCTCTCACCACGTGTAGATATATATGAACCTGTCTCACAAGTAAAAAAAATGTTTGTTACCCTGCACAGAGGTATGGGGCCAGTACAAAGGAGGGCAAACGAGCGGGAACCGACGTATGCGGAGGATATTATGGTGTCCTGGTTCAAATGGCTGGCGACTTGGATTATTATGCGAAATGGCTGGAGGTTCCACGATGGAGCAATCACAGCAAACCTTGTGCTCTTTGTCGGGCCGCCTTCAAAGGACCACTAACATGGATGGACAATCGTGCAAATTCGCCGTGGCAAGCCTCGTGCCTCACCACCACCAATTGGAGATCCCACTGGAATCCATCATGCCAGCTGTATTCTTTACCTGGCTTTTCGGGACTTTGTATCACGATGGACTATATGCATTGTATGTTTTTGGGGTGGATGCAGTTTTTTTATGGCTCGGTGCTCAGCATCGTGGTCCACGATTGTTTGGGTGGGAGTATCTTGGTGAATTTGAAATACTGCGACTCCTTCATCAAGAAGTACCAGCGAGACAACGAAACCAGATACACATTCCGCCAGCGACTTCTGAAACTTACAATGATACAACCAAAAAAAGGATTCCCCAAACTGAGAGGAAGAGCTTCAGATATTCAATCTTTGGACAGTGCAATTCTTGCTCTATTCGAAGAGGTCATGGACGAGGGTATCTATCAACACAAGCAAATCCGGCTCTTTTTGCGGTTGAACCTGCAGTTGGCTGAAATATTCGAAGCTTATGGGCCACGGTACGGCTTCATGGCTTTACCTGAGGAGCAAGCAAACCTGGCTTTCAAGCTCGGTTGCCAAATGGCACAGCTCCACAGCAGCCTGCAAGCCCACTACAAAGGGACGGGGGAGAAGCTCTTCAATCTCACAAGTAAGACCCACTTCGTTTTGCATAGTCTCCTACTCAGCAGTTTTATTCATCCGTCGATGGTCTGGTGCTACAAGGGAGAGACGACGATGCATCGCCTGCAGATTCTATGGAAGAGTTGTTTGGCAGGGGTGAAGCACTGGCATGCTTCCAAAAAGGCTGCCCTCAAAGAGAGGCACCTTTTGTTTCTGCGGGGCAAAGTTGGGCGATCGTGAGAGCTTCTTTCTTTTCTGTCGCGAAAAAAAAGAGTGTCTCTCTGCTATATGTGGTGCTCCTGGTCTTTTGTTTGGGCTTTTGAATCACAGTTGTCGTATATACTGGTGTGGATCTTATAAGCAATCTGCATGGATTCTCTTTGGTTAGTTTATGGCTTTGGGCCTGCGAATTTTCGGAAAAGTCCTTACTTCTGCTGTGGATCCTTTACATGTGGTGTCTGCGATTGCAGAGCAAAACAAACTCATGCCGGTGATTTTTTTAAATCCTTTACATGTGGTGTCTAAGTTTGCAGCCGCAAATATGAGTTCCATGTTTGTGTTTGCATAATGTTTTTATGTGTTTTGTCATGTTTTCAGCTCACCAAAAAATTTACGTAAATTTGGTCATTTTACACTAAATCCTTCGTTTACAGTAAATCAAGCCAAAGTGTAAAATTAGGTAAACAGCAGACTCAGGGCCAGCACACGCCCTCCTCGGAGGCTCTACGCATAGAGCCAGGTCAGCCTTTCCGCCTCGAGATTCTGGAAATGCTAGCCCGCGCCATCGATGACCCTGACACAGGCCTGGTGCCCATTCTCAAAGAGGGCGTGCCGACGGGAGCCTTCTCTCCGCTCCCGCCCAGCGGGCTTTGGCCCTCAGCACCGCAGAACATAGACACTCCTCTGACCTGGATCCGCACCGCCTGGAACACTGCGCAGGCAACTGGACAGCAGCCGAACGAGATCCTGCACTGCTCCAGCAGCTTGTTGACCAAGAAGTAGCTGCAGGCCACGTTGCGCCTTTCCATGGCTCGCCAGAAGACGCCGCAAAGCACTGGCCGCTCGGCACCGCAATCGGCAAATTGAACATAGTGCACGCAGATGGCAAAGATCCCCGCCTTGTTCTCGACAGCTCTGTGTGTGGGTTGAACCCGTCTGTGCATCTTCCCGAGCGAGTTTCCATGCCCAGCGCTCTCGACGTACAGCGCACCTTCTTTGCCTCTGACCTTTTCGCTCGCCTGCAAGGCTTGTCTCTGGACTTCAAGGCAGCACACAAGTCGCAAAAAGTGCGCCCCGCAGAGCAAGGCACACTGCTTTTCCGCATCGCAGATAAGTTCTAGCTGCACTTCTGCGTGATAAGCTGGACCAGCCAGTTGCATTAATAGTTGCACTGCTTGCTGCACTGCATGCACCTATAAGCTGGAAGAAAGCACAGCTCGGCGACCAAATCATTTGGTGCGGCTGGACTTTCTGCTTCCGCACAGAGACTGTAGCCTTAATGCAAAGCAAGCTGGAGAAATTACGCCAACAGCTCCGCAGACTTTGCAACGCATCCAAGGTCCTCAAAAAGGACTTGGAGGCATGCCTTGGCTTGCTTAACTGGGCCACTACCTTGAGCCCCCATATGCGTTCCTTCATGTCCTGCTTGTACAAAGACCTGCACAGCAGTGCGGGAACCCTGCATAGCATTTCCCCGCAGGCGTGGGCGGCTTTCTACGATTGCCTCGACGCCACTGCAAAGCTAGCTTCCACACCTTTGGGATCCTGGCTGCCTCGCAATGCACAGCTTCTTGATGTTGGAGCCATCAAAATACACTCCAAGTCAGACGTGCCCCGCGTGCCGCCTTCTCACAAGCACCAGTGGGTCCGACTCGCCGACCCAAGCCGCACCGAGATCCACCTCAAGCAAGACAGCAAGTTCTGCCTCGCCTGGCTGGAACTCTGCTTTAAACACGAGCAACCGCGCAGCCTTCGTACTCCTCCCGTCGCGCCATGCATGAGCGCTGCAGACGCATTCGCCGATACAGACCGCATGGGTATCGGCGGCTGGCTCAGCACTTCTTCGCATTTTGTGTGGTATAGTGAAATCTTCACAGCTGAGGAAGTTCGCGCCGAATGGCCTCAATTGCACGGCTCCATGCAAAGCTACATCGCATGCTTCGAAGCCCTGGCACAGCTCGCACTAGCTCACTGCTCTTGGGCCCTGCTTCGCCACAAGCATGCACGCTTCGTCTTGCCCAGCGCCAGCGACAATACATCTGCTGAAAGCGGGGTCAACCGTCTGTTCACTACGGCGGAGCCGCTAAGCACTTTCCTGCGCCTCGCTGCCACGTGGGCTCACCTGCACCGCGTCCAGTTTCAGGTCGAACACCTGGCTGGTGAAAAGAACACTTGGGCTGACGCTCTCAGCCGCGGCCGCCTTGCCTTTATCAAGCATCGCTCCCACGAAAGGGCACGCGTTAGCCTTGCACAGCTCGCCTCTGCTTCACACACGGTTTCACTCCGAGGGGAGGAGAATACCTTCCCCCTTCGCCTCTGCGAGGCCCAGCGCAGCCTCCTGCGCTGACTTTCTCGTACAAACGATGAAAAAGCGAAACTCTGCATCGGAATTTTGCCAAGCACGCCTTGCTTGCAACAAAGCACGCTTTTGCTTGTTTCTCTGTCCGTCCCGGCAGGTCTCCTTCTCCATCCTCGTGCGACGGGGGTTACTGAGCCCGCAAGGCAGAGGATGCTGAAGTCGAACTAAAGTGGGGGAGATAAGCTCGGCAACGCTTTGCCCTGCTCTTCCTTACTTTGGGCATCGCATTGCCTCGCACCGACTTCAAGCATCCTCCGCGAGTAAAAAAGAGAGCGCTGTCTCGTTTTGTTGTTGCTACGCTTTGCAAACTCACAGTACTCTTACTGAGAACGCATGTCGTGAGTTTGTTGTTTTTGGTCGACAGTGTTTTCGGTAAGTACTTGAGCTTGCACTGCTTCGCCCCGCGCTGCATTGTTAGCTCAAGCTGTCGACCCGGATCGCTTCCGCTCTCGCTAGCTTTTTTCACCCACCCACCCAACCCGGGGGGAGATAAGCTCGGCAACGCTTTGCCCTGCTCTTCCTTACTTTGGGCATCGCATTGCCTCGCACCGACTTCAAGCATCCTCCGCGAGTAAAGAAGAGAGCGCTGTCTCGTTTTGTTGTTGCTACGCTTTGCAAACTCACAGTACTCTTACTGAGAACTTGAAACTTTCAAGCCTTCCGCTTTTAGTTGTGAACCAATGTGCGTTCTGCGAAGTCTCCAGGGCGGCTCAAGCAAGGCGCAAACGGCCCGGTTCGGAATATCGGCCATGGCGGAAACCCTCGGGACCTACAACCTGATGAAGGACTTGCCTTAGGGGGCTTTGCGTTTAGGGTTCAGCGTTTTTTTGTAAGGGGTTGTCAGTTGGGAAGTCTACGGCATAAAGTTCTGAATGTAGGGCCCGGGTCGTCCGAGTCGGATTGTCAGGCCCACCTTGGGTTGGGCAAGGCAAGGTATACAGGTTTTGACCCAACCAGAGCTGGCCAAGAGGTGTCTTCCAGGATGATTTGGAGTTTAGGATTTGGCGCTGCGTACGCAGACGTAGAGGAGTCGGTCGTCAATGCTTTGCAGAGGTTGGGGACGTGTTGCAGCGTGCGTGAGAGCAAGTTTGGCGTTAAAGTACAGTGCTATTTGGGAGTTTCACCTTGTTTTGGGGTTCCTTATAGAAAGTATCCTACTATTGAGGGTACTATATTAGGGTCCCCGCATGTTCGGAAATTCCCATTGGCATACGATTCGTGGGTTGAATATGTACTTCATCATGTTTTGGGCTCCACAGCCTTCCATCGATGATCCACGGGTTTGCGCCTTTTGGCACTATGGCGCTGGGTTCGTTACCGCTGAAGCCTTAGGTCCCACTATCCAGATTGAAGGCCGAGATGCCAAACCCAGAAACCTACACCTTAGAAGCTGCCCCCACCTTGTGATAGTGGTATAATCGGAATATAATAGGGCCCTAATATAATCCTGATAGTCACTATTACAGGGTGGGGGCAGCTTCTAACCTACACCCCTAGACTCCAAAACTACCATTCAGGCAAACCCAGAACCAGGCCGGTCTTCAAACTCTTTGATTCAACACTCTCAGCAGAGGACCAGTTCGACACAGAGCAGCATGTTCGTTCGATTTTTGAACGGCTTCTAAGAACAACACATTGAAAAAGAAGAACACAGTACTAGAAGCCCCTGAACCGTTTTAGACTCGCTCCAAGGACGCGCCTGGCTGCACGGGCATGTTCCTGAGCGGCTTTATGGGCTTGGACGTCTGGGATCCGGGTGTACTTGCTCAAACTTTGGAATTTCTCGAATACGGCTTCGAATGAAGGCTGAGATCTTGCAGTTCAGTGCCAAAGGGTTACGGTTTGGGTTTGCGAGAATGTAAACCCGAAAGCCAAAAATGTATGTCCGTGCTGCAAGTATGTACAAGTGTGGGTAAGCTTGTTTGCCCAGCTGTATGCATGAATGCAGGCGCGCCTGTATGAATCCGTGTCCGTACATGTGTAGAACTTTGGAGACATACGTATCACGTATGTATTCGAAGATGCGTGCTTCCGTGCACGCTCATCCGCACGATTCTGCTCGTGTACTTGTGTTCGTATGTATACATGTATTTGTGTCTTGATTGTTTGCAGAACGTGTACATGTGTATGCGACGTCTGTAACGGTATTTTGTGAGTGTTCTTTCATGTACATACCTTTGCACGTGTGTGTTGCGCCATTGGCTTGCCAGTCTATAGCAAGTGTCACATCTGAGAAAATGCATATGCCCTTTCCGCCGTTCAGAGCCTTCCAAAATGGGAGTTTCCGAAAATAGGGGACCCGAATATAGTCCCCTAAATAGTAGGATCCTTACTGTAAGGACCCCGAAATAAGGTACCCATAATGTTCGGAAGCCCCAAATATATCAGAACAGCAAAACTTGAAAAAACTCAATCTGCCCACCTCCGACATCATCCCGCGGTTTTCGGAGCAGATTTTTCGACCTTGTCCCGTATCGCAGGACCACGGCTTAGAGGCTTAAAGTGCAGCGACTTGCAAGAAAGGATCCGTGACCTAGCCAGGGAGCCCCAAACCCTTTAGAGTATGGCAATGACGTAAACCGTGATATTAAGCCTCCGTTACTCCAAGGTAGAGTGTAGTCCTCAATTTAGGCCTTACTTCAGGCCTTCATTGAGGAATGTTGGGCTCTGAAGCACAGGTTGGCCTCCAAACCCCGCTGTAAACCCTAAACCCTAAACCCTTCAACTAAAGCAAAAGCACCTGTTGCCCGCTAAACCCTGCTGTAAGCCTCAAACCCTAAAACCTTATAGTACCCCTATAGTACCCCTATAGTACCCCTATAGTAATTGTATAGATCCCTTAAAGGGGCCCTTAAACCTCTAATTAACGGAATCTGGGCTCCAAAGCACAGGTTCTGGCGCGCCGATCCTCGCAGTGGCCAGAAGGGCACCATGGAGCCCTGCTCTGGCAAAAGAGGGGTCGGGTTAGAGTGTTTTGGATTCACGGTTTCGGGTTTGGAGTTTAGGGTGTAGTGTTTAGGGTTTAGGGTTTGGGGTTTGGGGTCTCGGGTTTAGGGCTGTTTAGGGTTTGGGTTTAGGGTCTAGGGTTCAGGGTTTAGGACCGCGTTGGACGATGGTTTACTGCAGGTCAGTTTCGGTTATGTTTGGTTCGCAGGGATGTCGTGGGTTGCTTATTATGGGCGGTGGTAGGTATGGGGTTTCTAAGAAAGGGGGGTTTGGATTTGGAGGGACGATTCATGAAGGATCGTTTGTATCAGGTTCCACCATTTTAAAAGAGATCCCAGCATTTGTACGTAGAAATATGGGAGTTTCCGAAAATTAGGGACCCTAATGGTAGGAAATGGTAGGATCCTTATTATGAGAACCCCCCCCAAAGAAGGTACCCCTTCTTCTCAGAAACTCCCACGTGAGTCCTTAAGTATAATGCATAGCACAGTAGCGTCGATCTCAAGACCCTTCCGCCAGTTCAGTTCCGTCTGAGGCCTAGTAGTCGAGTAGGTCACCTTTAACCTTTATTGGGTAGTATAGTCCCTGTATAATCCCTATAACCCAAAAAGGTTGTTCTTTAGTTCCCCATGATAAAAACCCTCAACCCCAAGACCCTGAACCCTACAAGACCCAACGTAGTCCGGCGAAGTCCCCGGCCGGGTCTGCGGCACCAGCCGCTTTGGGCGCAGTGCGCTGCAGCACTTGGGGATGCAACCACCAGCCCTTAACTAAGCGGAGTTCCGCAAATGATACCAAGACGCTCTGCAGCTGAGGGGTAGAGATATAATATATTATGGCATTTGAAGACTGTAGGGAAGGGAAGGTTTGCGTCCCACACCCATCCGAAAGCAGCAAGGACAATTGGCCACGGGATGGTGCACAGCTGAAAGGCGTGGTCCACGAGGTTCGCACATCCGGGAGCTCCGGGTTTGTCTTCGCTGGGGAGGGTTAGTGCTATTACATATATATATATATATATGTATATACATATACATATACATATATAATACACACTTACATACATACATTCATGGTTTTGGCCTATACTGTGGTACCACATCATCAGAATACCCTTGAATGTGCCCTAACCCTGAAGCCGAAGACAAGGCCTTCTGCCAGGCACACTTGACGACTAGGGTTTAGGGTTGAGGAGGGTTTAGGGTTTGAGTTATTGTTGAGGGTTTAGGGGTGTAGAGTTTAATCTTTTGGATTCAGCTTCAAGCTTTCTTTCATGAATCAGGCCAGAAAACTTGCGTCAACCGTCAAGCCTGAAGGCAGCCGGATACTCGGATGATCATGGGACTTAGTAAGTAGGGTTGTAAGTAAGGCAACTATAGTTATGTCTACTTATAGCCATAATAAGGGTACTTATAACCTTACTTACTAAGTCCCATGATCCTCTAAGTAGACCCTAAACCATAAACTATATAGATCCCTCTGAAGAACCCTATAGATCCCTTTAAGGAGCCCTTTAAGGAACCCTACTTACTAAGTCCCATGATCCTTTAAGTAGCAATGCTAAAAGGCTCTTGGTTGTTTGCTTTTTTTGCCTTGCTGGAGCGGGGTTTCTTTCACGGGGATCTCCAAGAGTCATAGCTGGAGGATCATGACACTTAGTAAGTAGGGTTATAGGTACCTTAGTTGGGGTTATAAGTAGGTATAGCTATGTTTCCCTAACTTATAACCTTACTTACTAAGTCCCCTGATCCTCTAAGTAGCTGTTGCTTGCCTTCCAACGGGGAATTGAGCTTGACTCCACGCGGTGATTTTGGAGACCACGACAAGGTTATAGCCGAGATTCCAAATCTGATGTCGTAATACGTAGATGTAGGTAGAACAGGTATTGGGGTTTATTTTCGTATAATCAAAATAAAAAGCCTTAAGGAAGACTATTAACACTTTTTCAGGCATGTACATTCGATACCAGAAGCTATGCTTCAAAGCAAAACATTCCGTTCGAGGGGGCGTGGGATGGGGTTCAAAGACGTTAGATCTCAGCGTTTAGGGGTTTGGAGTTAAGAGATTGTGGACTTTGTCGGTTTGAGGGCACGGTGTAAGGGTTGGTGGTTTCCTGTTCTTGTTTGCCTAAAAGCTCAAGACCAGAACCCCAATCGCAGAAAATTCATTTAATGATGAAGCGTAGCCTGCTTGGAGGTGAATGGTGCCAAGTGGCTCGCGATTCTGCTGGTTGAGTAGCATTTTTGTTCGTTTAGAGCCGCTAAAGGCTTTCAAAAGTTATGGGGTACTTGCTTTTTTATTGCTGCTGAAGGCTTTCGAAAGTTATGGGGCACTCGCTCTAAATATGTGGGTTGCATCTTAAGCTTTTTGGACTACTTGGAGGACCATGGGACTTAGTAAGTATGGCAAATAGTACCTTAATTGGGTTTATAGGTAGATATAACTATAGTTACTTTACTGACAACTCGACTTGCTAATTCCCCTGACCCTCTAAGTAGTCAGCTTGGCAGAGTTTAGAGCCGAGGCCTTTGAGTTCGGTCTCGCCGGTTTGAGGGGTGAGGTGTTTCAGCGTGCACGAGTGAGAGTCTCTTTGCAGAGTGGAGTCCGGGGGGTTCAGGATTTTGGAGTTTAGGCTTGGCCTCGTAGTCAAGGACCCCTCCATGATGTTTTGGATGTCTCTTACAATTGGGTCGCCTTCAGCGGAAATCGAAAACCCTAAAATGCCTGGCAGACGTCAGGAATGCAAGGAGGTGAAGCAGAAGGGCGCAGACTGGACCAAATGCTCTGCCGACCAATGGATGCCGTTGCTGGGCCTTGGCAGAGGAACCATTTCGCCTTAAGCCAGTTGTCATGTTATAGGATCTTTATAGGGCATTGGCTTTGCTTGATTTTGCGTGGGGTTTTACAGTTTTGCGGAGATCTATCTCAAGTTACTGGAACAGGGGTGTCAAGCAGACAGTCGGATTCCCTACTATAGTAGCTCACATTACCCTAAACCCTAAACCCGAAACCCTAAACCCTAATTATCAAGCCCAGGTTTCGCTACTCCCAGTACTACCTGGAGGAGGCCTAGCTCCATCTCCATGCCGCTTAAAGTGTACAGAGGCCAAGTACTTCGACCCCACACAAGAAGTGGGGTGCTTTTCGTGTGCCTTTGGGAGGTTATCCCAGGGACACACCCTCTGGCAAGCAGTAGATCTTGCTCGCTGTCTTTCTGTTCTTTCGATGGATAGTTGAAGCTCAGAGGGGTGGCAATGGAAAAGCAAGGCATCGGGTTTCGACTCACCTTAAGAAAGGGGGCTAAACAATTATCTATACTACTGTGGGGGTTCCTTTTTGCAATGATAGTATAATGGACCCCGACACCTTATTCTAATTATTAAGGTCCCTATATTACACAGACTGTAGCTGAGTGCTGTCCGAGACATCTCACTCTGCCGGCCTTTCGGAGGGCTTGTAGCTCCCTTTGCTGAAAACGGTTCTGACTCCGAAGCCATTACAGAAACCCTAAAGTGAAGAACCGACACCCTGATCCCTCCTTAAACCTCAGTACAGCCATGTTAGCCCCTGTAAGAAACGAAGCGCTCAAACCCTCAGCCGATTTACTCTAAAGGGCTAAGCCCTACGTCCAGAAGTTGTCCAAGATTCAGCCTTGGCTGACGAGTGGTGTCATGCCCAAAGCCGCAATTCAGGTTCCGATCCCAGCAGGAGCAAGCTGTTTCGACATGGTTTTGAAGGGTCTAGATAAGAGTTTCCATAGGGGTGCAAGTTGGGTTCTAGAGGAGTTAGACTCACCTGGGCTACCCGAGGAAATGTATACCATCCTGTCTCCGGAGGCTAGCATTATCCTGAGGTGTACGCTTGTTATCGTTCTACTGCTGGTGGTGGTGCATAAACATCGTCATCGGTATGCAGCCCCCGCATTCGTCATTATCTTCGTCATGAACATCATCATCGTCATTGTCACGACCACCATCATCATAACTAGCGTCACAGCCAATACACATCGACCTGGTCATTGTCGAGACCACCACTTTTGATATTCTCATCACGCCTACAGCAGCAACTTCAACAAGGGATCTTAATGGTTTTGTCTCGCAGCCCTAACGCCCCAAACCCCTAAACCCCAACCCTCTGCCACCGTACTTTGTGTGTCCCTTCACTGGTTTGGGTGCCTCCTCGTTTGGAGCTGCCCAGAAGGATGAAGGGCCGCTTCAGGGGACCCCTAAGCCCCAAAAGATAAAAGGTCCTAAATGCCCTAACAGCGCCACAAGCCACAGAAGCCTTAAACATCCTAAAGACCCCTAAACCCTGCACCCCTAAAGCAAGGATTCTTGTGCCCGGCTTGCTCGCCGCAGAATCGTCTCTCCTCTAAGTCGGTTCTCGTCTTCGTAGCTCCGGCAAACTTGAGCCATGGGGTGCCACCTGGCCTGAACTGGGGAGGGTTCCTCAAAGCGCTCCTTAAAGGGATCTATAGGGTTCTTTAAAGGGATATATATGGTTTAGGGTCTAGGGCTTACTTAGAGGATCAAGAGACTTAGTAAGTAGGGTTATAAGTACTTTAATTAGGGTTATAAGTAGATATACCTAAAGTTACCTTACTTATAATCCCACTTACTAAGTCCCCTGATCCTGCAAGTAGGGGTGTTCAGAATCCTGACGGTGTAGCCAGTGGCAGTAAGTGGTAGGAGTCTTGTGTGCTTTGGCTTCTAGGGCTCGCGACGAGTGCGGGTGCCTCTGAAACCAGCGAAACTGAGTCCCAGAAGCTTGGATTTCAGGGTCTAGCAAGCTATGCAGAGGCCTTGCCGTGGACCACACTTGCCATTCCGCCCCAAGACGAAACCTCATCCTTGAATCCGAAGCCCCTTATAAGACTCCGCAGAGTTGTAGACAGGTCCCCAGTTGACCCTCGCGGGCTGCTTTAAGTCGTCCTTGAGCAACCGAACAGCGATACTGTAACAGTCCTATGAACATTGAACGACGCTGCCTCAAACTGACAGTCATGAGCATATCTCAAGATTCAGTCACACCCAAAACCTATAATCAGTCATGAGCATATCTCATGACACAGTTACACCCAAAATCAAAATCTCAAATCTAATTGCCCTGCCTGGTCTCAGGTTGCGCATCTTCGACCGCATCGGAAGTCCCAGTTCCAAAACCTCGTCGCCGATTGAGCGTGGGCCAGGTTGATGAGAGCGAGCTTCCGGGTCATGAGGAGCTTGGGAGCTTCGCGGTGCGTTGTTAAATAGTGCCCGTGCCTACCGAGGCACTACAGCTTCTTCCTACTGCTACTGCTGCTGCTACTGGTACTGGTACTGCTACTTCTACTCCTGCTGCTGCTGCTGCTGCTGCTGCTGCACTGCCAATGTTTCAGCTGCAGCTATTGCTGCAACTACAGCTACTGCCACTGCGACTTCCGCCGCTGGTGCTACTTCTACTATTTCTACTGCTGCTGCCCCTGCTGCTGCTTCTGTTAAGGCTACTGCTGATGCTGTTGATGCATTGCTACAGCTGCCGCAGGTAGCAGTTGGGATGCAAGAAGGGATGTGTTACATCCGTGGTGAGAATATTTAGGAACAGCGAAACCCACAAGAGCAGTTGATGTTCCAGATTTCTCGAGTCTTCGATTGTAAAAGATACTGTGATGATGGCTGAAAGATCCTGAGTCCATCCTGAACCCTAAGCCCGAAGCCGAAGCCCCCAATTGTAACCCGTAAATCTTTAGTAAGATCAGACGCAGATCCGGAATCCTCAACTCAGAAGCCGTCAACATCGGTGACACCGACGAGTAGGACCCCTATAGAGCCTCCAGAGCGATACAGATTCCTTCTAGAGCCCCTGATGGAACCCTCTAGAGAGCTTTGAAAGCAACACGAGAGGTCTTACAGAACCCTTTTGAATGCGCTTCTCGGAACCCTCACAAGCCTTGTACTTGCAGGATCATGGGACCTAGCAAGTAGGGTTATAAGTAAGGTAACTATAGCTATATCTACTTATAACCCTAATTACGGTACTTATAACCCTACTTACTAAGTCCCATGATCCTCTAAGTACGCGAACCCCTACAAGACAACCAGAACCCAAACCCTAAACCCTAAACCCTAAACCCTAAACCCTAAACCCTAAACCCTAAACTCAAAAGCTTAAGCCTGAATGCTCAGCTTCTGCCTTCTCACGTACAGGAGCGTAACACAACTGTACGGGAATGAAACAAAAGACTTTCTAGTCTTACCTAGAGGTAAATGGTAATTGTAAAGCTACAATTACAGCCATTTACAGGTAGACATCATGAGTGGACACAAGTATTCCTTAATATATTCTGTAGACAGTACTGTCAGTAATATAAGAGATATATTACCCTAAACCCCCCCCCTAAGCCGAGTGAAATCTGGGGAAAAAATGGACCCCCGAGTGCTCGTGTGTGCCCAAGCTGGTCGGGGCCACATTCTGCAGCAAAACAGCGCCGATCCTTTCATGTGGCAGCTCTAAACCATCCGGTGCCTCTGCGTGCCCAAAGCGGCCAAAGCCAGATTCTGCAGCAAAACAGGGCCGTGCTTTTCGTGTGCCTGCTTTAAACGTTCCCAGGCTTAGGATCGAAAAATGGACCCTCGAGTGCTCGTGTGTGCCCAAGCAGGTCGGGGCCACATTCTGCAGCAAAACAGGGCCGTTCTTTTCGTGTGCCTGCTCTAAACCATCCGGTGCATCTGGGTGCCCAAAGCGGCCAAAGCCAGATTCTGCAGCAAAACAGGGCCGTTCTTTTCGTGTGCCTGCTTTAAACTGGGTTCCCAGGCTTAGGATCGAAAAATGGACCTTCGAGTGCTCGTGTGTGCCCAAGCAGGTCGCGGCCACATTCTGCAGCAATACGGGAATGAAACAAAAGACATTCTAGTCCTACCTATCGGTAAATGGTAATTGTAAAGCTACAATTACAGCCATTTACAGGTAACTGCATGTGTGTATACAGGTATTCCTTAATATATGCTCTAGACAGTACTGTCATTACTATACCAGAGATTGCACTCTCGTGTGCAGATGCTTCTCTGTCGGAAACGCTTAAGAACTTAAGCTCAGTACGGAAGCTCTGGGTGGCTTCGTTGGGGTGGGTATGTAAGAGCTCCGCGTACGTGACGAACGACGCTTTTGCTGAAGACTTCCGACGTGCGTCTTTTTTCTTCGTGCCGATTGGGGGTACACCTTTCACGGAAAACAAGCGCGAAACCCTAAACCCTAAACCCTAAAAATCCTAAGCCTTTGGGGAGGACTCCCAGGCAGAGCAAGATCGTGGCCTGATTGCCGCATTCAGCCCCTCGGGTCCCACCAGAAACTGGATCGTTTGGGGTTTAGGGTTTAGGGTTTAGGGGTTTGGGGTTTAGGGTTTAGGGGGTTTAGGGTTTAGGGTTTTTTGGGTTTAGGGTTTAGGGTTTAGGGTTTAGGGGTTTGGGGTTTAGGGTTTGGGGCCTACTAGGGTTTCATTGAAAGAAACAGGGGTTTGAGACAGGGTCTGCTGCTAAGGCAAGAACAAGTTCGCCCCTGCACCCATGACATCATGAGTTCAGCCGCAACCGTGAGGCCCCATGCCGAAGCGTCACTAGGACCTAGAGAGCCCCTGAACACAGCTTAAGCATTAAGCTCTTTAGACCCCTAGTCTTAGTAGCTGAGTGGGTTACCTTTAGCTTTTTGGGGTTTATAGAGTCAGAGGTCAACCTTTTTTGGGACAAGGTACCCAGTCCCAAAAGAAGCACGTCCCCTAAAGCCCATTCGTTAGCACCAGAAAGATGAAGGAACGCATTCTCCGAGATAGAGTGAACCTCTCAACCCCGGACCTTACGGGCTGCAAGCTGTACGGCCTCTACCCAAACCGCGCAACCCTAAACCCCTTAAGACAACCCTGAGACGACAAGGGCAAGAACACCGCAACCCCTGGAAGTACCATGCTGGTTTCCTTGTAAGGAACGTAGTTTAAGTCACCATCATAGTGATCTGTAATAACAATAGTGAATATGGCTTCCTTCTTATGGTACCCGAGTTAAGTTCTTTGACAAGAACCCTTGGAAAAACCATGTCAAGCTTATGGTTGTTGGCTCGCACCAACAAATACACATGCGAATACCTAAACTTTACAATTCCAAAGCCGTAGAAGTTAAACCCTAAACTTGCGAAGACAAGAACAACCTAACTCCTCAAACTCAAACCTAAACTTCCGAATGCCTAAACCTGTAACGGGCCTAGAAACCTTAAACCTAACCCCTGACCCAGTACCTACAAGGGCAAGAACAACCTAACACCCGAAACCCTACACCCCAAAAAGGTAAGGACAAGCAAAATCCCTGACATGCTTAGAAAGGTTTCAAACACCCCAACAAACGAGCAAGAACAACCCGAAATCCCGTAACCAAAAACCCCAAGCCCTGAACACGCACCTAAACCTCAAACCTTAAACCAACGCCCTAGACACGCTTTATACAAAGCCTTAAACACGCACAAGACCAGGCAAGAACACCTTAAAACAACCCCAAACCCCAAACCCTACCTTCAACCCTAAACCCTAAACCCTAACTCCTCAACGTCCCCAAAAATATCGAGGCAAGAACAACCTCATCCTAAAACTCTACATCCTAATCCCAAACCATACATCCTAAACCACAAACCCTTGAAAAAGCTGCCTGAACCCTAAACCCCAAACCCTCCTTACTTATAACCCTACTTAGTAAGTCCCCCGATCCTCCAAGCAAAAGAACCGAGGCAAGAACAACCTCATCGAGATGGTGTCGGAGACCGACCAAACTCCCAAGGCGAAGAGCGGACGGCGGGTTTCCCTCAGCCGCCCGGGCTTTCGACAAGGTAGTCCACAAGGGCTTGTTAGGGGTTTTAGGGGTTCCTTTCAAGGGATCTATAGGGATGTATAGCTTCCTTGAAAAAGGTATTCTTTTCTTTTGGGCTTAGGCCGTTTTCGGTGGGCTTTGTGGGTTTAGGGTTTAGGGTTCAGAAGGTGCTCTCAGAGGGGGTTTCGGGTTTGGGGTTAGGGTTTAGCGTTTGGGGTCAAAAAGGGGTTTGAAGGTTGAGGGTTTGGGGTTTACGGTTTCGGGTTGAGGGTTGAGGGGACTTAAACTTAAACTAGTCCTATTGCGGGGGGTTCCTTACTTCACCGCAAAACCCTATTCTAAGTGTCAAGGGCTCCATAGTACTCTATTAGTTTTCAGGGTTGTTTTGGGGACTTGGCAAGCAGGGTTTCGCTGGTTCGTTTAAGGAATCGGGGGGGGTGCCCCCCATGCCAGTGCCCCGTGTGCTTCCATAAGCGCATCAATAGAATGTGGTAATGGTCTAATTAGTTTGTTTCGTGCTTTTGGAAGAAGGAGAAGAAGCCCCCGATAGTCCCCATGCAATGTTCTAATGATTTAATTCAGGAATTCAATCACTAGAGTATTGTTTCGGTCTAACCTTGCCTAAAGACTAAACTTTTAATATAGTAAGATGGAAAAGCGAGTGTGTAAATCTTGTTGCGTTTGACGGGTTTAAGACTTGTAATAAGTGCCGTGCAGCGAAAAGAAAATGTTACAAACAAAAACCAGATGGGAATATAACCAAGCGAGAAGAGAGAGCAAAAGGGAGCCAATTATGTGAAGAATGCGGCCGCAAAATCAAACGCGAAAACCGGGATGCCCATTTCCATTATGCATATCATTATGCGTTACATCCGAACTCGGAACCAAATATATTGATGAAAGTTTATTTAACGAAGCTAGGTAATTTAAGGAAAGAAGGCACACTAAACGACGAATTACAAGCAGAGATTAAGGCAGAATACGAAAAGCAGAAAAAATATATGCAAACGATTACACGAACAATTCCCTAATCAATTTGTTGATGAAGACACACCAGAGCCACAACCTGAACCTGACAAACCTAAACCCGATATTGCTAAAGTATTCAATCACGTCCATCAGTTGCTAATGAATGATAATTTTTAGAAGACTATATTATGCTATTTGGCAAACATGAGGATAGGATGGTTATTGAAATTCCGATTGATAAGTCATAAGTATAATGTAGTTATAATCTGTAACGACTTAAGGATCATGACTACGCTATGGTTTTACCTTATCCCCAAGCCTTATTGCTATTCTTGATATTCCATTAGAGAATACCATTCCCATTTTCAGGGGTTGGGGATTTCAGGTTGGCAATATGGTTTTTCTATGGGAGTGTGGGTGTATGGGGTTTAGGTTGAGTTTTTTGTATGTGGTGGTGTATGAGTCTTTTTGGGGTTGAGGTATAGGTTGTTATAGTTTGGGTCTTCACGTTGAGGTCTTCCTATGGGCTAACTGTTTCAAGGTCGCATTATCTGTTTTTTTGTATTTCTACGGCAATGTATACAGAAGTAATCGGCATGAGCCTAGGCTCGAAAACGGACAAGGGAACCACCTCCTTCGCCAACAAGACGATGCGGACCTGCCACGTTTTTTGGGGTCTTGTGGGGCCTGTCGCGGCTCGTAAATACTGTTGGCCCTTTCCCTCAGGGCCCAGTTGCGCACAGGATCGAGCTGTAATCTCGGTGTTGGCGGGGCACAGTTGAGTTTCTTGTTTCTCCCGCTGTTTATGCACATGGGTGGTTGTCAAAATTATGGTCCCTTTTTGGGTCCCTCATATAATACGGCACCTAATATTTCGGATACCCAAAAAAAGGCCTTAATCTTGACAACCAAAACCACATCCCTAAACCCCAAACCCTAAATCTCGTCGTCGCCGGATGAGGGGTTGTTGTGCCTTGTGCTTGAGGCTTCGGAAGGTTCTTGCTGATACCATGCTTAGAGTATCAGGGAACGTAGTAAGTAGGGTTATAAGTGAGGTAACTATAGATACATCTACAATCTACGTATAACCCTAACTAAGGTACTTATAACCCTACTTACTCAGTCCCATGATCCTTTAAGTGGCGCAAGCCTAGGCAACATTGTGTATCCTCCTGTTCCTTCCCTCCTAAAATCAATATGAAAACCCTGTCTCCTACCTTCGTCAGCAACCGCCTCCTCCTCATCGCACTACCCTTGTGTTGAAGCTTCATACGGCACAAACTCCGAAATCAGAAGCTGGCATGTTACAACGACATGTAGAAATCTGAAGCAAAAAGGTTCACCCGAAAGTCCAGAAGCCCAATATGCGGTTCCGAAGAGAAGAGTTAGTCACGCTAACCCCTGCTAGTCCGGGTTTCACTACACCGCGACATACACCAGAATCTTGTTCTGAATGTCAATGCCCCTATGTTGAACTTGCGCCAGGCAGAAGTTCGGAGACACCGATGTGGACATCGCGCAGTGCGGAATCTTTTTCTTGTTGGAACCCTTGCTTTTTCTTCCTATTCCTTGGCTTCGAAAGTCCCGGCATTTTTCGGTAACAGTGGTGGAAAGCCGCAAAGCCTAACATTGAATGAGTCCTTCGTTCTGGCCTTTTGGAGTCTGTGTGACACCCTAAACCCTCCAGCCTCAACCCTCGAACATGTTTTGAGCCCGTATCAAGCCTGTATACAAGCAACCCTGCATCTCAGGCATCAGTGACCCTCAACTCAGAGCCCTTTTCCAAGCCTGCTGAAACCCCCTCATCAACTTCTGCACCCCACATGCTGGTAAACCCCTCAACCTTGAATTTCCTAAACTCTACACCAGAAATCCCAAACTTTAAACCGAAAACCCAGACTCCTTGAATCCTGCGACACTCCTAGGAAAACTTGAAAGCGCTCTGCAGAATGTTTGTCACAGCTAGTACATTGCACAACCCTACACCCTACATTCCCGATCCCACAGCCTAAGCCCTGAAGCCTAAACCTTCAAGCATAGATCCTTCACGCCGACACGTGCTGCGTCAAGTCTAGTACAAAGTCGCCAACCCCAAGTTTTTGAGCAACTTCACACAACTTCACATAGACACTAAACACCTTCAATCCAAAATCCTCAACCCTAACTAAACCCTTTACCCTAAACCCTCAGCCGCCTAGGAATCGGCTACACGTGCCGCAAGGGGTTGAAGCCGGAGAGTCCAAACCAGGATTCCTGGTTTGTGCTCAAGATGGACGCTCGGAGATCGTTTGTGTTCGGAGGGCTTGGCGTTTAGGGTTTAGAGTTCAGGGTTCAGGGTTTAGGGTTTACTGCAGAGTTGCTTAGAGTTTGGGGTCCTGAAGTCCTGAATCATGAACCCTTTCGCTCTTCAAACGCCTATCGGCTCTTGTGCTCAAGATTTACGCTTGGAGTTGGGTGTTTTCTACACAGGGTACTCTAAGAAGTGCTGGAACAGGTCCTGTAAGCTTAGGGGTGATGTACAACTAAAGCCCTATGGTTCAGGCAAAGATGGAAAGCTCGGAGTTGGGAATCTTTGGAGGGTCCAGAGCCCAAGCCAAAAGGTTGAAATCCTGAACCCGGACCCAAAGCCTTCTGCGTCAGAGACGTGCGTGTTAATATCAGGGCCTTAATCATTAGAATAGGGTTTGTGGGGGCCCACGATACCATAATTATTCTAAGGAACCCCCATTATTGGCAATCATCTAGAAGATTCCGGGTTCATGGACTCAGGATGGGCGCTCGGAGGGTTTGGGGTTTGGGAGTCTGTGAGGGCTTTACCGGCTTCAGAAGGCCTCATGAGGCTCGGAAGGGTGCACAAGGGTTTGGCTTTTGTCAGGGTTTTGGGGTTGTAGGCTTCGGGGTTTTTGGATTCGGGATGTGCATCCGGGGAGGTAAAGCTCAAAGCTTTGTTGGACTGGGCCCGGTGTATAAGGTTTTTGGATTTGGAACTTCGAGTACCCTTTTTGTTCTCGCTGCTCTTGCACTGGCAGTCGTGCATCTTTGTTTTGCCTGAGACAGAGCGCCTCATCTATTTCGCCAGTGCTCATATTTTATTCCAAGACTTTTCGTGTCGTTGCTCTTCCTCTGCTTGAGCATCGACTTCTCCTTCTGCCAGCTTCGGGTCCAGGGCTGGAGGTTTCAACTTACCAAAGTCCGGGCCGCGCCGAAAGCATAGCTCCTCTCTTGCCGCCCAGGAAAATTTCTCGCTCTACGGCGTTTTTGATGGTCATGGACAGAAGGGGCATGATGTCTCAAACTTCGCGATGGACATGTTGCCGAAGTGCATCATCAAGGTGGGTGTTTCTGGAAAAAGGAGGGACTCCTAGAATGAATGGCCAAGTTGCAGAAGCCCTTACAAAAGCTGGTAATGCCTTCATTGAACTCTACAGAGCCTGTGCAAAACTGTCGAAGCCTTAATAGAATCTGTATAGAACCCTTCCCGAACCCTTGAAGAATTATTCCGAGACCTACTTCTGAAACCCTAAGCCCTAAACCTTGAAGAACTACTGTAAGACCTGCTTCTTCAGAACCTTAGACCTACTTTCTAAGAACCTAGGCTCTACTTCTTAAGAGCCGCTTCACCCAAAGATCCCAATACCCCTTACTTAAGGATTATACCGCCTTAAACTATAGGGGGCTTAATATTATGATTTAACGTATATTCCTCAATTAAGGGGGATTGGGCTCTCTGGGGAGGGCCTTTACAAGGGAGTTGGTGAAGCCCTATACTCTAAACCCAGCCCTAAACCCTTAACCCTAAACCCCTAAACCCTAAACCCTTAACCCTAAACCCCTAAACCCTAAACCCTTAACCCTAAACCCCTAAACCCTAAACCCTTAACCCTAAACCCCTAAACCCTAGAGAGCCGCGTCAGGATGAGCGAGTGTACTCGACGGAGAAGCGGGACTGGGGACCCATCCTCGCCGATGCGCGCCTCGGCAGCACACAACTTTGAACATCCGGGGCTACGTTTCCTTAAAGGGATCTAAAGAAATTCCTTAAAGGGATCTTTCGGGTTTAGGGTTTAGGGTCTACTTACAGGTTCAGGGGACTTATATAATAGAAGTAGGGTTACAAGTAAGGTAACTATAGTTCTACCTACGTATAACCGTATAACCCTGATATCCATACTTATGACGCTGCCTACTAAGCCCCCTCTGACCCTCGTGTTTATACGTTTTTTTATGGGTTTGTATGGAGTTGCTTGCTTAGGGTGCTAAAAACTTGTCTCACAATAGCCTTACCACGTCCGTAAGCGCAAAGCCCCAAACCCGACACCCGCAACCCGAATCCGTAAACCCTGGAACCTGAACCCTACTCTCACTCAAATTTCTGAGAGGGCCCTGAGACCTCATGCTCGACCTGCCAGGTATTCCGACCGTAGGAAGAAGGAAGAAGAGCTCTGAAAAAGAATCCTAAACTCTAAACTCGGCTTGAGGCCGAATCTCCCTTGAAGCTTCGGCTTTTCTCCGCCCCAAAAGCCCAAAGCCGTGAGCATAGTGTCTTCTGGGGTTTAGGGCTTAGGGCTTCGATTGGGTGTAGGGTAGGGCTCGGGGTTTAAGTGGGCGACTTAGAGGATCATGGGACTTAGTAAGTAGGGTTATAAGTACCTCAATTAGGGTTATAAGTAGATATAACTATAGTTACCTTACTTATAACCCTACTTACTAAGTCCCATGATCCTCCAAGTAAGGCTAAGAGTTACAGCCTGTGCAGCGGAGGTTCAAGAAGACGCAGAATTTCATTACGCAGTCAGACAAGATGAAGACCCTGCAGGCTCAAATGTCGGGAACCACCGCGACGGCCTCTCGTCCTAGAAACCCGAGGCCCTAAACCCTAAACCCTGAACCCTAAACACTGAACTCTACACCCTGAACCCTAAAGTCAAACCCTAAACCCTAAACCGCAGACCCTAAACCCCACATCCCAAACCCTAAACTCTTCCGGAATCCGTGCAGGCGGCTTTGCTAGGCCAGCTATCAGTGGAGTTACGACTCAACTTAGGGGTACTTAGAAATATTTTTAAATTTTTGGTTATTATAATCCCTAAGAAACAGCTAAAGTTATCATGTTTGCTAGGGTTCTAAGTTCAGTATAGTCAATTAGGGGTATTCGCCTCAAAACTGCACCTCTTACCTTGCTTGGCCCGATGACCCTCCGATTTATGCCAATATGGTGCAAGGTATATGGGAGTTGCCGAAAATTGCGGGGTACCTTCTTTTGGGGTCCTTATAATAAGGATCCTACTATTTAGGGTGTGATTTTTTAGTGTGCCCTATTTTCGGAAACTCCCACACGTCTCTATCCAAAGGATCTAGGTCTTCTGGGTCCCGCTTGGGGACACTTACCGACGGCTTGCTTAGAGTTGCGAGAGTGTTCAACATCTGGGTGGTTGTCAAAATTAGTGTCCCTTTTTGGCTCATTATTACAATACGGCACCTATTTTTTAGGGTACCCACAAAGGCATCGCAATTTTGACAACCACCCATCTAGATCTAGGACTGAGTTCAGTCCAGGGGCTATGATTTCTCAAGCTCTGAAGATTGAACCGCCAAACATCGACGGCTTTGCTTTCAACCATTGGCGGCTCTACAGTTTTTGAGTAGGACCTTTACTGGTAATGGTGTGATGTAATACTTTCTAAACTCCTGATCCCGAAACCCTGAAACCCCAAAACCCTAAACCTTAATGTAGGACTCTGCTCGTCTGGCGGCTTTGTAGATGGCATTCAGTCCGGGATTCCGATGGTCGTACAATTTCATTTGCGCCTCCTGGGTTGGGATTAGGGTGTAGGCCGTAGGGGCTTAGGGTTAGGATTCAGGGTTTAGAGGTTCGGACTAGACGAAGAAGCCCGAACTCCGAAACCGAGGTGGCCATCCACGATCATTCAGACAATTCAGTCACCATCGGCCACGTCGCGGACTCCACCGCGGCCCTAGGAACCAAGTGCCTTGGTACTCGTTTCGCGGGGTCGCGATTCTGTGGGTTGGGCGTTGCACAGAGCTCCCAATAATTCCCTTCCCAGAACTTTTAAACATACCTCACACCCTAAACCCTATACCGCTGGAGAGACGCCTCCCTGAAGTCTCAACCCTGAACCCTTATCTGGGTAGTCCCAAACCGTGAGCATCCTATACCTGGGACATCGCAAATAAATCTAAACCCGAAACCCCTAAAACCCGAAAGCCCTAAAGCCCTAAACCCTAAGCCCCAAACTCAACGCGAGAGTAGCCCCACAACCCTCAGCCTTAGCATTTGTCCAAGACTTTCAAATCCCAAAGCTGTACGAAAGAACACCAGTTTTGGAACCCAAAACCACCAACACAAAAGCAACTGAATGCCAAAAAATGCTTCAGATACATCTGAAAACAACTTCTTCAAGTCCTTTGACAATCCGAGGAACCACTAAACAAAAGCAACTGAATGCCAAAAAATGCTTCAGATACATCTGAAAACAACTTCTTCAAATCCTTTGACAATCCGAGGAATCACTAAACAAAAGCAACTGAATGCCAACAAATGCTTCCTTTGACAATCCGAGGAACGTGAATGCTTGGAGCGGTGTGGCTCTCACAAGAGACCACAAGCCGAACTTGAAGGCTTTCGTCTCCCCTCGGCTTTGGGGTTATAGGCTAGGGTTTCGGGTTTAGGGTTTAGGGGTTTGGTTTTCGGGTTTAGGGTTTCGGGTTTGTGGGATTAGTGTTTTAGGGGTTTGGGTTTAGGGGTTTGGGTTTCGGGTTTAGGGTTTCGGGTTTAGGGATTAGTCTTTAGGGTTTCGGGTTTAGGGTTGAGGGCTGTGGGGTTAGGGTTTAGGGTTGGGTTTTGGGGTAGAGGGCGGGGGTACGTTAAGCGCTTGTTGAGGTGTTGAATGTTTTTTTTCATGACGGACGTTGCGGCAACAGGGTTTGAAGAGGGGGGTATAGGGCCTTCATATGGGTTTCAGAGGCGTTTAACAAAGACATATGGTCTTTTCAAGAGTTTATGTTTCACGCCTTTTTTTTTGGGGGGGGGTTTCGATTTTTTAACGGATATCTTTTCTGAGTTTGGTCGCGGAGTTTGTCGGGGTTTTCAACGGCACTCATATCATTGCATTGTTTTTGAGCTCTTAGGGTTGAGATTCACGGTTTACTGCAAGGTTTAGGACTCAAATGAATGTGCAGTTTGCTACACGGCCCATGTTTTGGGTTCCGTGTATTTAGGATCCCACAGTGGGGGTCTCTACTGCCGGCATATTGCACAGCATAATGAAGAACAAGTATACGAGGGCAAGCAGTGGATTTACAGATCTGTGCCAGGACGAGAAGGCGCGCATTGAGAAGGCAGGTGGACGCGTGGTGTTTGACGGGCCCCTCGGACTAACAGCAGAGTTTCCATCGGCAGGTTTTGCTGTCAGCCCGCATTTTTGCAGTCCTAAACCCTAATCCCCTAAAACCCTGTTTCGTTGCAAACAGCTCCGCCCAAGCCACCAGGTACGCGAACTACCGCGTCTACGCCAAAAATGCGCGCTATCCAGGTCGCTCGGACGAGGGCACACCCTTAGGAGCTCTTATAAGAGACTCTCGATATATAGAGCCCTTCTATTTATCCTTATCCCCATAGATCCCAAACCCCTAGCCCAAAGTTAGGAACTCTTATAAGAGCATCGATAGAACCCCTCTATTATCCATATCCCTAATCCCAAACCCTAAACCCGACGACCCTAAAACCCGACGTACAGCTCACAGGATTTCAGCGGCTTGAGTTCGTTGAACGGTTCTGCAGGATTGTCGGCTTCAGGCTTCAGGGTCTTGGACTTACGGAGCTTCACGGCTTTGGGGTTTCCAGGTTGAGGGGGTCAGAGTTTTGGGTTTAGAAGTCCTCGGCGGTTGACGGTTGTAAGATATAAGCTTGAATCATGAGTAATAGTTGTCATGGTAGAACATACCCCTCAAATTCCTATTCTGACTACTTGAAGGGTAAAACTAGCCATAGTAGAGTATGCTTTAGAAGCTGCCCCCACCATGTAATAGTGACTATAAGGATTATATTGAGGCCCTAATATATTCCTATTCTACCACTATTAAGGGTGGGGGCAGCTTCTAGAGTATGCTTTGAAGGTTTCAGGGTGTCCCCCATGTCGGGCTTCGCCACCAGGATCTAGGCTTGAGGGCTTTAGGGTTTAGGGTTTATTGCTCAAAGTTTAGGGCGTAAGAGGCCTCAAATATCCAAGGGTAAAAGGAGGGACCCTTGTTCAGGACCCCTAGGTATATACCCTATTAATATAGATATCATATACCCATTATCTAGCCCATTATAGGGTAGGGGTCCCTATTAACGGTCCCTCCTTTTCCCCTTTGAAAATATCTAATCTTTCCAGTAGACCAGAGCCCAGACCCAAGGCCTTATCACTCACCTTATTTTGGGGTCCTTATAAGAAGGATCCTACTATATTAGGGCCCCCTGTTTTTGGAAACTCTGTTTCGAGAGCCATTACTGTGATTGTTAAACAATCTCTGAGCTCTGCTCCTCTGATGGCCCACATCCTCAAATCCGTAGTCGCCGAAGCTTCCATTAACAAAAATAGGGTCGGTAGTATCCTTTTTTGGAGTCTCCATCCGTAGTCGCCGAAGCTTCCATTGAAAAAATAGGGTCGGTAGTATCCTTTTTTGGAGTCTCCATAAGGCAGACCCCAAACCCTACTCTCATGCTAACCTCTCCTAGATTCGGCTCGAGTGTTGCCGAGGCCGCACAAAAAGACCCCAGACAAGAACTAAACCGAGGCACGATTAGACAAGGCTGTTGGTGTAGGGTTTAGGATTTTCGATTTGCAGTTTAGGGTTTAGGGCACACTAACTTTCAAAAAATCAGTGCCGCTAAGTTTTGCGCCCCTAGAAGAAGAGCCTAACCATAGACCACCTGACCCTGAACAAAGTCTCGAAACTTTGAGCGAGGTCTGAACATGTCTCGTTGCCTTGGTGACCTGCTCGGACATGCAGAATGTGGCATGCCGGTCGCCCAGGAACCGGAAGTTTGTACTATAGGGGCCTAAATGATTGACTATACCATTCTGGGGGCTTCTTATTCTAGTATAATGGGCCCCTAAAATCCTAAACCCTAAACCCTATTCGAACTTAAGGCCCTTTTTTGGTATTGTATTCCAGGGTAACCTTCAGAGGCTTGCACAGCCCTGCACCAGGCGATGTTTTGGGGGAACCTTCGCAGGTTTTCATCGCCGCGATACTTCCGAAACCATGGCTCATGCCTTCCTTCAACCCTTCAAGGTCTGGTCAAGGTGTTAAAGTTTAAAAGAAATCGTACCCCAAACCCTAAATCGTGAGCGGATCCCTTAAAGCCGCCTTTACAGCCCCACCGAGCTCCTCCCCTTCAACGCCCCTCAAAGCCCCTCTTTAAGCTACCCTTGAGGATCCTGCAGCAGTCATTGTCATTCTTCCTTATATACATCTCACGGCCTAAAGCTGAAGCGGAAGATCCAATGCATGATCCCGTCCCCTAAACCACCTTGAAACCCCTAAACCCTAAACCCCAAGCCCTAAACCCTGAACTCCTAAACCCTAAGCCCTAAACCCTGAACTCCTAAACCCTAAGCCCCAAGCCAAGAAGCCACAAGCTGCTTTCGGGCGATCGAAAGGTCATGCGAGCCAGAGGTCAACAAGATCGCCTTCGAAAAGGGCCCCTTGGCTTTGACGTGTTCTTTTGTTTCTTTGGTTTGTTATGTCCAAAACTCCAAAGCCCTAAACCTTACACCCACAAGCCTGAACCCCAAATCCTAAACCTGAACTTCTCCACCCTTGACAGCGAACTGTAAGGCAAGCAGTACATCCTCCTCGTCTGCTCCGACGGTGTTTGGGTGCCACCGTCCCGGCTTCGTAACGAAGGGTTTAGGGTTGAGAGTTTAGGGTTTTCTGGTTGAGGCCTAAGCCCTACACCTGTCAACGGCCTACAACCCAACCCCAAACTTTAAACCACAAACACCTGAACGTTAAACTCCCATATCCTAGACCTGAAGCCACCAATTATACGGTTTCTGTATGTCAGCAGTTACCACAAGTTGGGCCGGAATGAGGATGTCGCAAGCTGGCTCCAGTTCACAGCCGGTCGGGGCTTCATATGACATAGAAGCCCGGCTAGATGGCTCCTCATGTCTGTTAAACTCTAATATGCACCGACACGCTATTCTAGTTATGAACCTAGTAATAGAGTAGGAAACCTTGAACCTTTTTTGGGTAGTATAGTCCCTCTATAATCCCTATAGAACCAAAAATGTTAACCTTCAGTTCCCCATGATACCTACCCGACAAGTAGGTTAAGGCTCACTTTAGTAGGAGAGCCGAGTTCCGTGGCCAAACATGCAGACTTGGAAGTATCGGAGCCTGCGCCCGCTACCAACCACCAAAAAGCTCCGCTGCCTTCACAAGCCGACCGCCAGAACCGAAGGCAACATCTGGAACCCCGGCCCCCGTTTCCCCAAAACGCATTTTGGGAAGCATTGTCTCCCCTAAACCCTAAGCCCTAAACCCCTAAACCCCTAAACCCCTAAACCCTAAACCCTAAACCGATATTCTGAAGCTCAGCTCCTTCGCTTAAAACGCCAGGAGTTCATCTCTGCGCAAGAAGCAGCGGCCCTGGAGATCGAGTGTGTCATGCGTTTCCCAGGGCCTCAGACCAGTAGAGCTTGGGATGTAACATAAGTTTTTACGATTCAAGATTCGAGGTCTACGATCAGTACAGTCTAAGAAGAGCATTTTTTACTTTAAGGATCAGGGGACTTAGTAAGTAGGGTTATAAGTAAGGTAACTATAGTTGTATCTACTTATAACCTTAATTAAGATACTTATAACCCTACTTACTAAGTCCCATGATCCTCTAAGTAGTCCTCAGACCCGAACTCTCAAAGTCATCCTCAAGTATCTTCAGCCTCAAAGCCTTCTGTCCCCAAAGAGCCGTGGGTCGACGTCGCCGTAGGCTTCTGAGCAAAGAAATGGGAGACGAGTTGGGCACTGCTTGCACTCTGTACCCAGAGAGCCCAATACCTTTTAAGTAAGGAACATGGCTTAAATTAAAGAGGACTTCACATTATGATTTAAGCTAGATTCCGCAATTAACGGGTATTGGGCTCTCTGGGTAACAGTTGGATACTATTTATGACGTATTTGTATATGGGAGTTTCCGCCAATCGGGGACCCTTATCTGGTACCCCAAAGAGTAGGATCCTTAGTATAAGAACCCAAAATAAGGTGTAACGGTTGGATAATGTTTTTCGTATAACTGTTTATTGCCCTTGATCTGACCCCTGATATGAGCCATTACAGGGCGGGGGCAGTAGCCAATGCGATGAGTGCGACAATCCTACTTTCAACTGCAGGAGCAATCAATCATAACAGCGCCGACAAGCGTGACAAGAAGGACCGTCGTGACACCGTGTACGAAACCCAAAACCCACCACAAACCCTAAACGTTAAACCCTAAGCCCTAAACCCGAAGCCCGAAACCCAAAAACCTAATCCTACATCCGAAGCCTTATATCGTCCCCAAACCCCTAGCAAAACTCAGTTAAAAGCCTTGCATGCCCGGAGGAGGAGCGGGGGTTCAGGCACAAAGGGTCCCTACCTGCAGGATCGTAGTAAGTCTACGATAATGAGAGGTATAAGTACCCTAGCTCGGGCCATCTACCAAGTGTATTGGTAATCGTTCAGCCCTAGCGCCCTAAAGCCCAGGCAGTGGACATTGTCAGCAAGTATGACGCTAACGAGGCCACGGCTGCAGCGGATGACCTTGCCTCTTGGCAGAGTTGGCTAAAACAGGGGCCTTAATAGGGCTTTGGGCCACTATAGTATAATTATAACAAGAACCCCCCCCAAAATAGTATGGGTAATGATTAATTAGGGCCCTTATAGTACCCCTCACAGAGTCCTGGTCCCGAGTTTAGGCTCCTCCAAACACCGGAAAGGTCATGGCACTGACAACACCCGGCCTAGGGTTTAGGGTTTAGGTTTAGGTTTAGGCTTTAGGGGTTTAGGGTTCAGGGTTCAGGGTTTAGGGTTTAGGGGTTTAGGGTTTAGGGTTGCAGCCACCTTAAACCCAAAAGGAGTTCTGAGAAATAGAACCCTAGGCGGCATTTGAGGTTTTCGGATGTAGAACTTGTTCTGTGGGCCTAGAGTGGGCGCGGAAAATGTTTGGGTTTGGGGTTCAGGGTTTAGGGTATGGGGTGTAGGGTTTAGTGCAAAGAGTTTAGGGTTTAAATTTAGGGTTTCGGCTTAGGGTGCTGACGTGCTACAACTACAACAACAACAACTACTACTACTACTTCTACTACTAGGGGTCTTGTTGGGTTTAGAGCTAGGCGGCATTTGAGGTTTTCGGATGTAGGACTTGTTCTGTGGGCCTAGAGTGGGCGCGGAAAATGTTTGGGTTTGGGGTTCAGCGTTTAGGGTATGGGGTGTAGGGTTTAGTGCAAAGAGTTTAGGGTTTAAATTTAGGGTTTCGGCTTAGGGTGCTGACAGGGGCCACAAGACTTAACACGACAGGGGCAGCAATAGCAACATGAGAAGCAAACGTAGGAGCAATCCATGGTATCAGAACTGAGCACGCAGCAATATACACAGGTTCGATTTCAAAGCCCTGAGTTTAAAACCCAATCCCAACGCCCCAAACCGTTAGCTGTAAATCTGCAGGCTCAGAAAGGAACCCCCACGATCTTCGGTGCCCTGCAAGGCAATGCAACACGGCCAAGCAAACCACAAAAAAAAAAAACAAAAAAAAATAAAAAATTACCAAACTAATTCCAGACCCTTGTTACCGCCCCTAGAGCAAACTCTAGGCTTCGAACTCTGCTTTCTGCCCAGGCCAAGGAAGCCTGGGATCGATGGATCAAGGAGGAGGGCGGCAGCGTGGCGCCTTGGCTGCTTCGAGGATTCCAGGGACTTAGTAAGTAGGGTTCCTTAAAGGGCTCCTTAAAGGGATCTGTACGGTTCTTGAAAGGGATCTATGGGGTTTAGGGTTTAGGGTCTACTTAGAGGGTCATGGGACTTTGTAAGTAGGGGGTGAAGGGTCCTTTTACGGGCTCCATAATAGGGGTACTATAAGGGTTTAGGGTTTAGAGTCTGCTTAGAGGATCATGTGACTGGTTATCTTAAATGAGGTTATAAGTAGATATAACTACAGTTACCTACTTATACCCCTACATACTAAGTCCCCTGTTCCCTGAAGTGGCCTTGATCCCACCGACATTTTTGGCTCATCCTTGTTACAATTGGTAATTAAGGACTACTGTCAGAGCTGTTATCATACCGTACTATTGTTTAGATTTGTATTATGCTTGTTATAAGAAGAGCAATAGTTATTAGTACTGTAGTATTGGTTTTATTATTATTACTATTATTATTAATACTACTACTACTACTACTACTACTACTACTACTACTACTACTACTACTACTACTACTACTACCTCTGGTATTATTATGGTCATCGCACCTTCGCGGCTTAGAGGATCGGGGGACTCAGTAAGTAGGGTTTTGCCTTGTATGAGAGTTCAGGTTCAATAGGGGTTTAGAGCTTCAGACTTAGGGATCAGTGTGGTTGTCAGTAACATAACTATAATTTTTAATTCCTATGAAGGTACTTCCAACCAGACTTTTGAAGTCCTGTCATCCTCTAAGTGGGCTTGATCCCACTGTCATTTTCGTCATTATTGCTACTAAGAGTGTTAGACATATTTCACGGTACTGTGTTTGCTTTGATCAGAGCGGTTCGGGGAGGTGTTCGGGCGCTTTGCTTTGGATCATTTTCTGCCAGTCTTTCGGGCTTTTATCGAAGGCCGTTTAGGGTTTAGGGTTTGCCTTGACTAAAACTGAAACCTATGCACGGGTTTTACAGTTTAGGGTTTAGGGTTTAGACCCGAAGCCATCGAAACACCCTAAGCCTAAATGGCTTTTAGGAGGGTTTAGGCTTGAGCACTTGAATGCAAGATCGGGAAGCTCGATGCTGGAACCTTTGTATTCTACCCCCCCAAAAAAAAACCCACTCGAATGATTAAGGCTTACATGGTTTAGGGTTTAGGCTTTAGGGTGATGCAGCACCTGACATGTAATCATATATAAGCCACAAAACGGTTTTGTTCCCTACCCCAGGTTGATGACATCACCGTGGTCCTCCTCTATGTGGGCTTCCCTCCAGTGAAGCAAGCGTGAGTTTTCCCACCTCCCGTGGGCACTGCTTGCAACTTGGGGACTCTTTCGGTGACGCCTACACTTCAAACCCTGTAAACCCATTGAAGCCCATGGCCCTCTAGTATCTGAAAACTGGCCGCGAAGCCTCGAATTCTGGACCGCTCATGGGTTCAGGGCTTTCTGGTTATATAGGGATTATATAGGGACTATACTACCCCAAAAAAGGTTAAAGCTTGTTAGGTATAAGAAGCTGTGGAAGTTTCTTCTTGCGCGGCTGCGACTCGTGGGTATCGGGCCGCAGTCTCAATCGTCTAGGTGTTGAGGTATGTGTTAGAAGCTGCCCCCACCCTGTAATAGTGGTATAATAGGAATATAATAGGAATATAATAGGGCCCTAATATAATCCTTATAGTCACTATTACAGGGTGGGGGCAGCTTCTAAGGTATGTGGGTGGTTCTCTAAATTAGGGTCCCGTTTTAGGTCCCCAAAACAGCACGCGGCACCGAGACCCTAACTTGGAGAACTACTCTAAGCCCTTAAAGGGAACTCCAGAAAGTTGGAATATGGATTAATGGTAGGATCCCCTATAATTTACCTTAAAGGGGCTACGATATTGATATTCCAACTTTCCGGCTTCTACTGTAAGCCCTTAAGCCCGAAGCCCTAAGCCCTGAGCCCTAGAATACTTTCTGGAGGCTTTATCGGGCCAACCTAGAATCAGGTTCCTTTTTTGACGATCTTTCTGTCTTACTAGTGTAACATCCTCAAGGTTTAGGGTTTAGGGTAATCTCGAATTTGGTCGTCTCTGCCATTCTCCATCCAAAGACCTGAGCCCAAAACCACGTGTTAAAGGGAACTCGTAGCTCGCAGTGGCCCTTTTGTCGCGTCGGACATCGTGAGGATTCAGAACAGCCACTGGGACGCGACGCCAGCCCCTAGAGGGGCACGACGGGTCATAGAAGTTCCCCAAGCCCCCGACCCTTACAGTGACACCCTCATATCCCAAACTCCAAAACATCCGATACCCTGAACTTTCCTAAGCTCGTTCAGGGCTTGAGGTTTGAGGTTTCTGCGAATGTAGGGGCCTTGATAATTAGAATAGGGTTTTGGGGGTCCTTATTATACTCATAGTATAATATACCACCAAACTCTATTCTGATTATTACTTCAAGGTTCATGGGACTTAGTGAGTAGGGTTATAAGTACCTAAGTTAGGGTTATAAGTAGTTTTAACCAAAGTTACCTTACTTAGGGCCCTACTTCCTAATGATCCGCTAAGTAAGGCATGTAGAGCCTTCGTGCTGGTGAGACCAAGGACTCGAGAGTTAGCCGTTGGGGTTGAGGTCGGTGCCCGACAAAATCAAAGCGACCTATCATGTCCGCACTCTACTATACTATAATATGTACCAAAAAATATTATACTCTCATCTAAAGCTGTTCCGAAGTTCTATAGAGCTACACCCTGAATCCTTACACCCTCGCGGGCTCTGGGGGCTTTAGAGTGTATTGTGTTTTGCTTCGTTGTTCTTTTAGCCCCAAGCGGGGCCGTAGGATTCAAGATGTATAGATCCCTTATACATTCCTTAAAGGAGCCCTTATAGATCCCTTTAAAGGAAACCCTGAGAGTCTCTGGGTTAAGGCCTGTTCGTTTTAGGGTTTTCTTGAACTCCAACTGTCTTTGTTGGTGCATGTGGAGCTGAAAACTCTAAGTTCAGAACCCCAGGTTTACGGTTTGGGGTTTAGGGTTAAGGGTTTAGGGTTTGGGGTGTGGGGTTTAGGGTTTAGGGTTCAGGGTTTAGGGCTTATGTTTTAAGACCCTTTAAACCAGATCTTGCGCCTTGGACTCCAAGCCCGCGCCAACTCCAAAACTCAAGCCCACGCTTTGATCAGGGACCTCACGTAGGCAGCAGCATGTGAGCTTTCAAGCAGAGTGTAGCATTGTTTTTGGTTCTACAAACTGTGATGTGGATCCACGGTTCCGGTTTCAGGGTTTGTGGCCCTAAAAGACATTCCCACAAGATCTAACGCAGGTCGCTGCACGTAGTCTTGGCTTCCCAGGCTGTTCTAGATGTCGAGTAATCACTCGGGCTGTTTGCACGACGGTGACTCGGCAATGCTGAGTGTTCAGAGTTCACAAACTTGGTCTGCCTCCGTCCAAAAGCCCGCGCCGTCAGGATGTACTTTCACGGGACCCGAGACCCCGAAACCCGAAAATCCGCGCTGAACCGTAACTAAACATTGCTTTGACACTGCGGAACCCTCAGAAGCTCTGCGCAGCAGACAATTTTCAGGGAGGCGGTCTTTTTTGTTTTGGTTAGATTGTTTGGGTCCCTAGATTGCCCTAGATAGAGAAATCGATAGATAGATAGTATTTTGTGGTCTCGGTATCTAGTCAAAGGGCTTCGTGTAGGATCCTGCGTCAGCACAGCTTCTTTGGTCAAAAGTTCGACCCGAAACCCCAAGCCCCCAACCCTAAGCCCTAAACCCGCGGAGACAAGCCCAAAACCTTAGCTTGGCTTGGGCTTGACACCCTAAACCCTAAACCCTTGACGGCTTAGAAGGACGAGGAGAGCACACGACGTAAACTGGGCCGAAGGGCCCAGCGACCCTTGATCGGCTCCGTACTGATGGAGAGGCTCTTTCAAAGAATCTGGAAGCGGTTTGTGGTTCAGAATTTATTTAACATTTACGGTTTGGGGCTTATTTCGGGTTTAGGGCTAGGTTTTATTTGGGGTTTAAGGTTGAGTGTTTCGGGGGGTTTGGGATTTCATTGTACCTAATGCCGGGGACTTAGTATGTATGTAATAACTCGACTAGTTAGTACCCTAAACGGGATCCGAGTTGGGGTCATGATACTTATGACTCTATAAAGTGACCATTTACCAAGTCCCGCGACTTTTCAAGCGAGGGGCGTAGAGTTTTGGTCTCCCCGGTCCCAATGTGATAAAGGTAGGTGCCCAAGAGACGGTTCGAGCTCGGAACGCCAGCAATCCCCAAACCCACCAGTAGAGTACGTAACCTTTAACCCTTTTGGGGTACTCTAATCCCTATGTAACCCCCAATATACTCCCTAAGGTCAACCTGTAGTTCCCCAGGATAGTCGACAAGCAGGATTGGCATTGATCCCCGTGCTGAATTTCGACAAAAGCTCAACCCGCGCAACACCCGCTCTAACAATTAGGTCCCACATGTTCGTGTTGAGGGTTCAGGGCAAACCTTAAACGCGCAAACTCCAATCCCTAACATCAAAACCCACAAATCATTGCTTAGTAGCTAAGTGAATGCACTATACATGCTTATGGGGATAATGTTATCCCAGGTCAGGCAGAAAGTTTGCAATTTTTATGGTTTAATCTCAGCAACTAAGGTTGGAGGTCTGTAAAGATGCCTCAGATTCTCAGTTCCCGACTGCACGCCTGATGCCCTCCCAACCTCGCAGAGGAAGGAGGAGCGTTTATCGAACTGAAGGGGAATCGGGGACCTGATTCTCTTAAGATAGCCGGAAGACAAGGGTATCGTAAGAGGTCTTTATAAGATTACAGGGATTTGTATGGAATTTAGAAGAGGCTGCATCTCTTTGACTTTAAGTATGTAGAACAGCTGTAATGCTTTGACTCCAAAGATAGCCCCAACAGTAAGATAGCCCTACAGTAACATGAGCCATAGTATTCAAGCGGAACAGCCGATGGATCACAACAGGGCCTTGGGTTTGCCTGACCCTAAACCGTCTCAGACATGTTTGGGGTTTAGCGTGTTGGGTGCAGGATTCACTGAGTCCGATGTCCAAGCGGTGCAATAGTTTCGTCGCAGGGGCTTTAGAAAGCTTTGTAGCCAGGGTTATAGGAGCCGATCGAGATTCTAGGGACTGGAAGGTTCAGGGTTGAGGTTTTGAGGGCCCATACGATCGCGGTTTGAGTTCAGGGTAGTGGTTTCAGGATTGGGGGATCTGGGGCATGTGCCCCCAGGCCCCTCTGGCCCCAAGCACCCTTCAGCGTAAGCAGTATCCGTTTCACTCTTGGAGCTCTGCGCACCGAGTCTGCAGATCTCACGGCCATCAGCAAAAGGCCCCTCGAACCATGAACACTTCGACGCCGACCTCACAAGCACTAGCAGTCCGCCGCCATAAACGTAGACCCCGAAACCACAGTAATGTAGGCACCTGATTAAGAAGCCCTGGGCTTATAATCCCAAAATAGTAGGAACAAATACGGAACCCTAAAAAAGGCCCAAGGTTTCTTAGTCAGGTTCCTAGAGTATCAAAAGTCTGAAGTTCGACAAAGCCACCAAGCCCAAAACCCTAGAATCGTATACCCTAGCCCCAAATCCTCAACCCTAACCCCTAAAAGCCCGAAGATCAGATACCCTACCCATACACCTTACAATGCCAAAGGCTCAAGCTCAAGGCCTAAAGTGCAGGAGCCCTTTACCCTGAACCCTACAACCTGGAAGGAAGAGTGCGGGGAAAGCTTTGGATGCTTAAGCTTCCCATCTCGAAACCCCGCAAGGTGCGGTTTGAGGAACATTTTTTGGTTTACGGTTCAGGGGGTTTGGGAGGGTAGTTACAAGTTTATCCTATGGAGCCCCGCATTTTTCGGTTTAGATTGGCGCCCTCATTTTCTGAAACTTTGAAATCTCATTCGGCAGCAGCAAGATACGACTTGGCGCTATGCTGGATTTCAAGCAGGCTGAGTCATCCTGTTTCAGGCCTCAAAGCTTAAGCCCTTCACCGCGAACCCTGCACCTTAAACTGTGAAGCCCTTGGTAAACTCGCCGGAACCTACCATAAACCTTCAGCTCAAGCCACACCCTAAGCACCCATGTAACGAAACCTTAATCTGCGAAACCAACAAGCCTCAAGCCGTACACTCTAGCCCCTCAAACTCTCAACAGCCTTCTTTAAAGAGGCCCTCAGACCCTAGATCCCTTTAAAGGAACCCTATAAACCCGTCTTAGCAGCTGCAGACTCCGCTCTCATTCGACGCAGAGATGCCGGGAGCAGAAGCTCCAGCATCCAAGGTTT